GAGTCAGGGTTGTTCAGCCTGGAAAAGAGAAGGCTGTGGGGAGACCTGATTGTGGCCTTTCAGTACTTAAAGGGGGCCTATAGGAAAGATGAGGACAATCTTTTTAGTAGGGCCAGCTGTGACAGGACAAGGGGTGATGGTTTTAAACCAGGGTAGGTTTAGACTGGATATAAGGAAGAAATTCTTTACAATGAGGGTGGTGGAACACTGGCACGGGTTGCCCAGAGAGGTGGTGGAGGCCCCATCCCTGGAAACATTCAAGACCAGGTTGGATGGGCCTGTGAGCAACCTGATCTGGTTAGCAGTGTCCCTGCTCACTGCAGGGGAGTTGGACTAGATGACCTCTAGGGGTCCTCTCCAACCCAAAACATTCTATGACTCCCACCTGCTGTCCTGCCCCCTCTCGTGTGCACCCATGCATGTTTGGAGGCTCGGGCTTGCTTTTGATTCATGGAAGGGGTCACAGATGTGGTGGCTACAGCCAGTGAGTAGGAAGCAGTAGCACCATGGGTGCCGGCCACCAGGCTGTGGATCAACAGAGCCACCTCTGCCAGGTATTTATGCCACCTGAATCTCAGCAGTTTCAGCTTTCTCCGCAGACAGGCACAAAGCTGGCAGCTGTGGCTGGGTGCTGACAGTTGGCACTGGAGGCAACATCCACAGGGAACCTTTGCTTTGGGCAGCTCCTGTCTTCAGTTTACCCATAGCACTAAGCAAGAGTGCGTGAGAACACGAGCAGTGACTTATTGAATTGGATCAGACCGTCAGGTACAACCCCACCTATTCCCTTTCTGACCTGTTTATGGACTTTTTGGCCATGAATTTGTCTAACTTCTAGGAATCGAAACGTGTCAGAAGCTATTTCAGAGATCTTCTGGATTTTCCCTGATATGCTGTACCCAGGGCTGCACATTTGGGTCCCTGGGCAGGAGCGGCTCTTACAGAGCACCACTTTCTCTACCTTGGAGCTGGTGCCGTGCCATGTCCAGCCGCTCATTATGGATCTCATTCAGCTTTGCTAGCAGCAGTTTGTGGGCACTGTGCTCGTTGAGATAGCGAGCATACTCCTCGGCTACACTTGTCCGCAGATGTTCCACCTGCAGGAAGCAGAGGCTTGAATCAGTCAGGAGCGTGGTATGGGTGGGAACTCGGGGGCTGGTGTGGTGGGTCTGGAACGGAAACTAAGGAGCAGAGGGTGGGATAAGGGGAGCAAAATGGGAAAAAATGGGAGCAGGAGAGTGGGCAACACTGTAGAAAAGGATGGACTGGGTGGAAATAAGACAGAAGACCCCAAACTCAGGTGTAGTGTGCAAAAAAGTGCTCTATCTGTGTCCAGTTCTGGGCTCCCCAGTTCAAGAAAGATGAGGAGCTACTGGAGAGAGTCCAGAGGATGGCTACAAAGGTGATGAGGGGACTGGAGCATCTCCCCTACAAGGAAAAGCTGAGGGAGCTGGGCTTGTTCAGCCTGGAGAAGAGAAGGCTGAGAGGGGATCTCATCAACACGTACAAATACCTTAAGGGTGGATGTCATGTTTGAGGGTGACAGAGCACTGGAACAGGCTGCCGGGAGGGTTGTAGAGCCTCCTTCTCTGGAGATATTCGAAGCCTGCCTGGACGATGTCCTGTGCACCCTGCTCTGGGTGAGCCTGCTTGAGCAAGGGGGTTGGTCTGGGTGATCTCTGGAGGGCCCTGCCAACCCCCACCATTCTGGGATTCTGGGATCTGAGTGTTTAGTCTTCTAGAGAGTGAATTGCACACATTTCATCATCTGAGTTACACTATTTCTCTGTTGGAAGCCTGTCTCTAGAGAACCTTCCAGCACATTACTCTGTCCCTGTTGCTGGTCACTCAGGAGGAGAAAAAAAAAGATGCTCCCACTTCTCAATTTACTCCACTGGAACTGGTGCCAGAAACGTATCTTGGATGGCAACACGGGATTGTATTTGTGCTGCATTTTTAATTTTTTGTGGCAATTTGTAATTTCAATTGCATCTTAAATTAGTAGCAAAGTAAACCCATCAGAAATCTGGAAGTCTAAGAGCTGGGATTATGTGTAAAACCATAGCTCATTGCCACAGCGTGCATCGCATCATGTGAGTGCACCCTGTCACTGCCACGCCTGCCTGTCTGCCAGCAGGGAGGGAATCAAGATGGTTTACTTGTTGCTCAGAAGACTCCGGTCTGATTCTGATGAGAATCCTGAATTCCGTTACTCTCACAAAAACGCAAGCCCTCTGTAGCAACACCGTGCCCGTGGCCCTACGCCGTTGTAGCCACAACCACGCTGCCACCAGCAGACGAGTCAGCAGCTTAGGTGGTTCTTTCTGAGGAATTTTTGAGTATCGACCCGCACCACCGCGAGAAGATTTCAGTGTTGCCTCAAAAACGGAATTTTGGTTTTAGCAGAATTATTTTTGCCAACCTCTTTCACCCAAATTGCAAAACTTGAGTAGCCTGAAGGAGACTTTGGATTTGGGCTCTATTCTTGGGTAACTTCACATAAATTCTCAGCTGCTCCTTTCAGAGAAGGCTCTCTGCGGCTCCTGGGAGCACTGGGGCCCGTGCATACCCAACAAGTGGAACTGGCCTAGCTCCAGGACTGCCAATGGAAGAGGTGTTGATGAGCATTTTGATCTAGCAGCAAAACCAAAGCCTCTAAGGCTCACCAGGCACTAGCTAGATGAATAAGGAGCCTGCACAGTCTGTCCTGAAGCTTGTTCTTCTGCACCTTTACCACTTAATCTTAGTACTTAAACCAGTGGATGAAGGCAAGTTCAGGTAGAGCTCCTCATGGTGCTGTCACCGCTCTGACTGCAGCAGGATTGTCCTCTGACAAGGACAAGCTGTTTCTTCCTCCTGCTCATTTTTCACCAGGAGGATGGTACAACCCTGGAACAGGCTGCCCAGGGAGGTGGAGGACCTCAAAACTCGGGCCAGCCAAGCTCATGGCTGATCCGATGGAACATAGGCAGCAGCTCTGCTTCATGTGGGATGTTGGGCTGGAGACTCTAAGACGTTCCTTCCAACTAACGCTTCTTTGATAGTTCCTGAATTGCCTACAGTAGCTGTCAGGGCCCCAAGAACCTTAGTTGTTCTCATCAGCCTCAGCTGGACCCTCCACCCACACACCATCTGCCCGCAGCCAAGGATCTCATCCACCAGTGGATCACTGGTTTTCCTCTCAGCCAGCCAGCCCCACTGGTCAGCTCCACCAGGAATCACCTCTGCAAAAAGACCCTGAGCCTCAGGTTGAAGCTTTTGGTGTTTGCTGAGCTATGTTGCAGGTCTATCGGCTTCCAGTCCTGTCTCTGTATCCTAACTGGCCCTTGGACTGATGTCGTAGGTCACTCTTCTTCTGGATGGGCCCCTTGGGATGTCTGCTGCAGTTTTGCCTCCAGTCCTGGCTCTGGCCCTATCCCCTGCTGCTTCTGAGTGCTCGCTTCCTCCTCCCTGGCCTTAAATACCTTGTCTGGAACTGCTGCTACCAGCACCTCGCCTGGTGCTGCGGGTGCATGCCCTGCTCAGTGGTGCTCCGACTGCATGGCAGTCACCCTCAGCTCCTGGCTCATACTTTCTTGTGCAGCAGCCCTGCTCCCATTCCTCTCCAGCAGTGGTGGCCTTTCAGCCTGAGCAGCCAAAGCTGTTCAAGAACCATATAAAGCGGTAACTTCAGTTGGAAAGACTTCGCTGACCTTGCCTATAGATATCACCGTGCTGGCACCAGCAGTAGGATGGCTGATACAGATTTAAAGATGCCAGGAGTGCAGTGTTGTAAAAGAGTGCATGTACTTTTGCATAAGAACTTAAAATGTTAGTACTGGGAAGATGACACTGGAAGAGCCGGGTGGGACAAGAGGTACAAGCAAAGACTCCCGACAGCAGCAGCAGAGCCTGTCCCAGGAGAACAGGACGCTCCCTGGAGCTGACCAAGATCCAGCATCGTAACCATGCCAGGGGTTCAGCGCCTGCTCCAGCACTCCCACTGGCATCAAAGGACAAGAGGCTGGGAGGGAAGGGATTGGGTGTATAAAACACATCCACCTGAAGCTGGGAAACCTTTGACTCGTCGTTGTCTAATTTACCTGAGTCTGGAGAGAATTCTTTTCTTCCTTCATGTTGTCAATGAACTTCAGCAAACGCCGATTCTCTTGCTTTAACTTATTTATTTCATCTTTCTCCTTTTCCTGCAGTGCCAGCATCTGCCGGGTGCACTCCTCGGAGATGGTTGTGACTGTAGCCTTCAGGGGCTGTAGGGCACGGATTGTCCTCTTCTGATGAGCTAAAGAAAGCAGAGGTGGGGGCATACAATGAGCAACAAAGCCTGAATTTTACTCAGCTGGGCTGTTGGATGTTCAACCTCGAAACAGTGCTGGTGGGAAGTGGAACTGAACATGGAGCCTCTACTGCTTGGCCTGGTGAGTGCCTGAGGGCTGGAAGTAGCATCCCTGGGGATTATATCATGTTGTTTATCCACCTGCGCATGTGAACTCCATAAAGATTTCTGATTCATCTTGTGCTATTTATCCTGGTTTGTAAGACAAGGGATGAGCAGTATTTTATTTTGTGTTCTCAATTACCTAAGGCTTTGGTAAGACATAATGAGTGCTGGTGGCTTCGTCATGTTTCACTAGTGGGAAGGTGGCACCATTTGAGCATGGGCGGCGTATGGGGCTAAAGACAGCCAGTTATTAGTGATTTACCCTCTTTTGTGAAGGCACATTCTTCATGAACTTCAAGCTGCTTTCTTGTCTCCAAATGCATGGTCCCATGCAAGCTTTTGTACACGAATTTGTTGTCTACCCACTCCCCCCTCTTTTTAGGTGTGCCTTGACCCCTTGCCTTTCTCTTCAGCACATCTAGTAAAGAACTCCTGTGCTCTTCCTGGCTTCCACTGCCGTAATGAGTGCTTTGCACTCTCAGCTATTTCCCCTTTGACTTGAAACTGTTTCTTAAAGATTTACCTGAGGCGCTCGGGGGCCGTACTTGACTTGGGTCCTGCGTCCTAGTTATGGTTACACGGTAGGATTTAGTCTGATGCCACCTCCTCTGGAGAGGGAGGCTTGGTTTTATGACCAGATGGAATTTCACCAGGAGAACAAAACGGCCAAAGACAGGCTATGGTGTGAGTGGAAGGAGGCCACGAGCAAGCGTTGCTCGGTTTCTGAGTAACTGCGTTATTGGGCAAGCAAAACAGTTCGCTCCTGCTCCTGAATAGAAGGGTAGAGACACCAGCGGGTGCTGGATAGTTAGACTTGGAGGTTTTAGTATTTACGTACAAATTCTGCACAACAGATTTTAAAAGCTAAAATGTGTACATAAATTCAAGAACAGGAACCACTTTTCTTATTATACTTGGGCGTGAATTTCCTTCCCCCGCTGTGACTGTACCAAAGGTTTTGCAAAACCCTTCCACTGTGATGCTTGTAACAGGACACGAGATGGCAAAGATGAGAGCATTGGCACAGGGGTTCTGCCACCACGCTCTTTGGTCTCTCAGTGCGACTGTGTTAAAACTTCAGCCACCTTGTTTTGAGGCGTAGTTTGAGTCTTTTGCAACTGACGCCTGGCCATGAGCAAACCCCTTTAAGCACAATGGCATTTTTAACTGTAGCTGCCCAGGACATCAAAAGTGAGAGCATAGCTTGTTGGCTGCCAAGGTGATTATTTGTAGTGTGGACGCTGGCCAGGGCCATCGGAGAATGTTAGCTCTCTGGTGACCACTCGTAACTCCCCCCATGCTGAGAAAGGACAGACGTGCTCCCCCTTAGGAAGAATTCAGGCTGTGGTGCAGCGCATTGCAGGTATGGAATTGCTGGATGGACCCAGCGGTCTGAGCACCACAAAGGGGTCGATGTGAAGGCCCCATGGACGTAGCAATCTGAGTGTTATTTTAATCAAGAAATGGATTCAGCTCTGGATGTTGTAACTATGAAGACCTTACCCTGTCACTCGGCTTTGTCTTAGAGGAGCTCCCAGCAACACAACCTTTCTCTCAAATGAAGGTAACAGCTGTAGGGATTTGATGGCTCTCTTCTGACAGGACAAGGGGCGATGGTTTTAAACTAAACCAGGTTTAGACTGGATTATAAGGAAGGAATTCTTTACAATGAGGGTGGTGAAACACTGGCATGGGTTGCCAAGAGAGGTGGTGGAGGCCCCAGCCCTGGGAACATTCAAGGCGAGGTTGGATGGAGCAACCTGATCTGGTTGAAGTTGTCCCTGCTCCCTGCAGGGGGTTGGACTGGGTGACCCTAAAGGTCCCTTCCCACCCAAAGCATTCCATGATTCTGTGATAGGATTCTATGATTCTCCATAGTGCTATGTTCCAAATTCTGCTTAATACCGTCACGTTCATGTGGATTTACTCCAGACACAACGCCGTAAAGCCTCAGTACTGGCTCAGCACAACCTGAACACCCAAAGGAGCTACGGCTGCGGCTGTATGTCCAGTCCTGGCCAAAGACACAGGGTACAGGTACAGGCTGTGCGTCCCCATTCCCCTCAGAGGCGGCTGCTGCCTCTGCTCTGCGCACTCAGCTCTGCAATGTGCAAGCTACTTCAGACATCATGCTGCCAAAATGGTGCAGCTAAATGTACACTGGGAGCAGGACAGATTTAGGACAACACTTCAGAATAGTTTTTTCTTTAAAAAACCCAACCAGATTATTCTGGCTGTCCTGGGACTAGGCTCCAATGCCAGCAGATTTAAGGGGAGAACCCACCCCAGCAGTGGGTGTAGCGGTGATAACATTGAACATGGCATCGGCTAAGCTAGTACAGCGTAGCAGAAACACCAGAGCAAGGCATGGCCACTAAATCAGACCACAGAGAGAACATCCAGTTGGCTGAGAAATGCAATACTGTAAAGACGGTGTAGTTACAGTCCGAAAGGGAGCTGAAATGCTGCAGGTGGAGGGGTGAGACATCTCCCCAAGCAAGCCGTCCCGTTTATCTGCACCTTGAGACGCTAAGCACTGTTGTGCTATAAATCAGAATATGAAACCCTGCCATCAGGACCCCTCACAATGGCTACCTCTCATCCATTTTAAAGCTGTTGGGTTTTGTTAAGCAGAACCAGACATAATTTCAGAATAAAGATGAGCACTTTGGAGTACAGTTCTACAATTCCGTAAGTTTCCTTCCTTTTCTCTTTCCTTTGTACTCTTTCTGACGCTTGGCTTTTGTGTCTTCCCTAGCACGGACGCTTCCGTGAGCAATTCCGCTCGCTAAACCAGCAGGAAATGCTGCAGCTCTTGGTCTGTTTTCCCTGCAGGGTGAGCTGGCTCAGCTTGGAGAGGGAGCACGCCAGCGGGACCAGGGAAGCGGGACCTTCTTGTTTCCATGGCCATGAGCTGTTCGCTTGGATTAGGTCACTGCTTCCTCGGCTAGGCAGGGAGATGGAGACCCCAAAATTGCCTATGGCTGACCCCGTCCAATGCCCTTCGCTACAAAGGGTCAGCTCTCCTGCAGGTCTCGTTAGCAAGGTCAAATCTGTAGTTAGGAAAATGAGCCCTTGATACACAGACAAGTGGGAGGATCCCAATCCCAACTTAAAAAAAAAAAATATATATATTCCATTTGTTATATTCTTAGAGCTTCAAGTACACTTGCTGCCATGGCAGATCGGTTCACTGACGTTCAGCTGATTTCTAAAAATAAAGTTCTCATAAAAGATACGTTTTGCTGGGTAGCCAGTGACTTCAAAGAAAAAAAAGGGAAATATCACATCAGGCAATATGGAGGAGTCAGTAAATAAGTGCTTAAAATAAAAAAAAAAGCGTCAGAAAGCTGCCTAACATAGGCTACAGCATGGACACCAGTGACCTCTCCGGGGGCTGAAGCAAAGAAATGTCTGCTGAAGAGTTCTGGAAGGAAACTGATCTAAATAAAGATGGTTTTATATAATGATTAAAATGGATTTGTTCACCTGGTTGAAGCACACTGTGCAAAGAGATTTTTGTCTGTACTGAGGGACTGTGATCAGGTAGCAGGGACGGGGATAAATGAGATACAGCCTTTAAGAGACCATCCCAGTAGGAAACCGTTGACATTTGATCGGTGCCCAGGGTGAAACGGGCTCCTGGTGACATCTATTTCTAGCCCGCTGCGACTGTTTACAAAATACCGGCATCGCCATGGCATCTGAATGTCGAGCGGAGTTTGAAGCGCACTAAGAACGGATGGGGACTGGCCAGTGCCCTGCCCTGCCCTGCCCCAGGAGTCATTCAAGCTTCAGATGAACAGAGCAAGCGCATCCAAATGTATTGGCATGATGTGCTCCACTACAAATGTGGTTGATGCCAGAAAAACCTTGAGACGCTGCTGTTGCCTGAATGGTGTAGTGAATCTGTAGATTCATGGTAGAAAATCTAAAAAACTTAAATCTAAATCTAAAAATCTGAAATATTATAGGGAGAAAACCAAATCCTCCAACAACTTCATCTTATGTGTGAAGGAAATAGATGTAACTGACCAGAAAAATGGTTTTACCAGTGGACATCACTTTAGGCTGTTCATCCCATACATGTATCTGACACAACTGAGCTCCATAAGAACACAGCTCTGTTAGGGTATTTTCCCCACAGGCACAAGTTCAAGAGCTTACCCAAAGTAACTTCATATTCGTTCTTTATAGCTGACAGCAAGGGCTTATAGGTCTTGAAGTTGTCTATGAAGAATTCGAAGATCTCTCTGTAGGGCTGAGGGAAGAAGGAGAGCTTGAGAAAACAAACAGTGGCACGTTTTTCGCAATTCAGAGCGTGCTGCTTTATCCAATGCAAACAGCATCAAAGGACAGTGAGAATAAGTATGAAAACACTGCTACCACATTGTATTTTGTGTCTCCGCCTTTGGCCTGCCATCCAAAACACATCACATGAAGGTGAGGTTCGCTCCCTTGAGGAAAGGCACTGCAGCACGAGGGAGAGCAAACAAACGCTTTAGTGGCCAAGGGGAAGTTTTGATCAAGTCCATCAGGGCATGGCTCCAAAAGGAAACGATACAGCTCAGGTGGAGCAGGCTGGAACCCAGGTTACGCTATGGCCATAACAACGTGGATGTTAGGGATCCCTAAGAAGATCATAATGCTGCTTTTGTGGCCTGTCCTGTTAGGTTAAATGGCAAGCTCTGCAGAGCAGGGAGCCTCTCTGCAGGTGTTGTGTATCAATAATAAGAATAAAATTTGTTCAGAGAGGCTAGCCAAACTTCCGGGTTGTCCCTGGGCCATGGGAAGAGTTTGGTAACAATAAGTAATGTTCTCAACGAGTGTACCTGGCTGGTAAATACCATTAAACCTGTAAGGTAAGACACAAGAAGATATCTCCAAAGCATAAACACGGTTATGAGATGGTGGCTTTCTTGTGCCATCAGTGACTGTTTCCCTCTGTTCTCTTGCATCTACCACTTTCTTTCCCCATCACTACAGGATTCCTTTGGGAATGAGAAGTTGAATTAATTTGTGCAGAGCAAATCCAATCTAAACTTCCCAGTCTGTGTAAATGATCTAGTTGCGGGATATTACCAAAATGGGAGCACCCACTCATCCCACTCTGTGTTCTAAATGACAATGGCGGATCTCAACGTCTCTGTGAGCTGGGTACTCAAGCACTCACAACAAGCAACCCAGGATCAGGCCCATTAGAAGCTGCAAATATGGGGGATCCTGATTAGGCCCAGGCAAGAACTAGATGGGAAGGGCCCTTCTTGTCACACGCAGAAACCAAACTTCAGGAATTGGAGGTTTTGCAGTGACAATTTGGGAACCTACGCACTTGCTGCTTTATGGGGTTACACGGGAGTCTTCAGGAGTTTAGTGACTAAATTCTGTTTCACGTCTGTTTTAGATTACCCTGTCTTTTAAGACTTGGGTTTTGATTTGAAAATGGAGACAGGCATAGAAGATGTGGAATACACAAGAAGATGTGAACAACTCTGTACCTGGGCAGATGATGGAGCAGATCCTCCTAGAAGCTGTGCTGGGGCACATGGAGGCCAGGGAGGGGATTCGAGATGGCCAGCACAGCTTCACAAAGGGCCAGTCCTGCCTGACCAACCCAGTGGCCTTCTATGATGGAGCAACTGCATCAGCGGATAAGGGAAGAGCTATGGCTGTCATCTGTCTGGGCTTTTGTAAAGGTCTTTGGCACTGTCCCCCACAACATCCTTTTCCTTAAACTGGGGAGATGTGGATTTGAGGGGTGGACTGTTCAGTGAATGAGGAATTGGCTGGATGGTCGCATCCAGAGGGCAGTGGTCAAGGGCTGCATATCCAGATGGAGACCAGTGACAAGTGGTGTCCCTCAGGGGTCCATACTGGGACCAGTGCTGTGTTCCATATCTTCATCAGTGACACAGACAGCGGGATCAGGGGCACCCTCAGCAGGTTTGCAGGTGACCCCAAGCTGAGTGGTGCGGCTGACACGCCTGAGGGACGGGATGACATCCAGAAGGATCTGGTGGGGACATGTGAACCTCGTGAGGTTCAACAAGGCCAAGTGCAAGGTCCTGCTCCTGGGTGGGGGCAACCCCCGCTATCCATCCAGGCTGGGGGATGAAGGGATGGAGAGCAGCCCTGCTGAGAGGGACCTGGGGGTACTGGGGGACAAAAAGCTGGCCATGAGCTGGCAACATGCGCTGGCAGCCCAGAAGGCCAGCTGTGTTCTGGGCTGCATCAAAAGAAGCATGGCCAGCATTGAGGGAAGGGATTCTGCCCCACTGCTCTGATGAGACCCTCTGGAGCCCTGCATCCAGCTCGGGGGTCCCCAGCACAGGACAGGCAGGGACCTGCTGGAGCGGGGCCAGAGGAGGCCACAAAAATGATCCAAGGGCTGGAGCCCCTCTGCGATGGGGCCAAGCTGGGAGAGTTGGGGTTGTTCAGCCTGGAGAAGAGGAGGCTTCAGGCAGACCTGATTGCAGCCATTCAGTGCTTAAAGAGGGCCCATCGGAAAGATGGGGACGGACATTTTAGCGGGGTCGGTTGTGACAGGACAAGGTGTGATGGTTTTAAACTAAACCAGGGTAGGTTTAGACTGGATAGAAGGAAGAAATTCTTTACAATGAGAGCGGTGAAGCACTGGGATGGGTTGCCCAGAGAGGTGGTGGAGGCCCCATCCCTGGGAATGTTCAAGGCCAGGTTGGATGGGGCTCTGAGCAACCTGGTGTGGTTAAAGATGTCCCTGCTCCCTGCAGGGGGGTTGGACTGAAGGCCTCTAAAGGTCCCTTCAACCCAAAGCATTCTATGATTCCATATAAACCCAAGATATAAATGAACTGCTTTCTGTGCAAGTTCCCTACCGTGAGCTGCAAACCCATTTCTCCAATGTTAGCCACAGGCACCTGCTCCTTTCATCTACTTTTTCCTTTGGGTGGCCAATTTAAGTCCTCCATCTCAGCATGTGGTTTCAAGTCAAGAGAACCTTGTATCAGACCTGTAACTTCAGTTCCTGGGAGTTGTCTTTAGTCAGATCAAGGGACTGCAGCTCTTTCCTTAGGTAGAACTCCAGTTGCTCCAAGTATCGTGGCTTTGGAAAGGCGAGAAAGGGCTGTTTAGTGCTGCAGAGACATGGGAAAAGAATGGAGACATGCGTCATATGTATAGGAAAGAACTCATAATCAATCAGCTCACAGGTCTTGGTTTTCTTCCTCCTGCCCATTGCTTCACAGCAGGATTTTATTCTTACATGAGAGAATATATAAGTACTACAGTAAAAAAACCCCAAAACTTACAGCAGCCAATTTAAAATTCCTTGATGTAATTCCTATTCCAGACATTCTGCTCTTACTGCTCTTCAGTTTAAGAACTTCCTAACACTTTTTGGTCTGAAAAGCCAGGTGAGTGGGCTCTCTGTGGCAGGAAAGAATAAATGCTAATTACAGTATTTGAAATGTGCCAAGGAAAACAGCCATTCGAAAAGAGAACGGGTAACATTCTGCATCTCCTGAGGCCCCAGGTTCCTCAGGAGGTCCTAGACCAAATGTGCCTTTGCTGGACGTTATCATGTGTCTTCCATTTTAAACCCAGCCAGAATTAAAACAAAAAAGCGCAACTGTCCTTATCATATCATCCACAGCTCTGCCCTGATTGCACCAAGAGGCTCTTCAAGCTCTTCCTCGCCCTTGGGGGTTGAGGTGCCTGTGCTCAAGGGGAGCAGGGACCTCACAGGGTGACAGCAAGGCAACCAGGGGCAGTGACCTGCCCAGCAGGGCTTGAACGAGAACAGCAGAGCAGGTCCCTCAATGGGAGCCAGGGTCGTTCATCGTTCGGTGATGGTCAGACAAACCCGCAGCAAGGGCAGGTTTAGGTTGGATATTGGGAAAAAATTCCTTCCCTGCAAGGGCTGTCAAGCACTGGAAGGGGCTGCCCAGGCTTCCCAGGTTGAGTCTCCATCCCTGGAGGTATTTAAAAGCTGGGCAGAGGAGGTGCTTAGGGCCAGGATTTAGTGGTGGGATGGCAGGGTTAGGGGAACGGTTGGACTTGGTGATCTTAAAGGGCTTTGCCAACCTCAACGTTTCCATGATGAGGAAGGTCGGATGCCAAGCTGGGACCCCGAGTCAGCAGGCCAGGGGTGGGGGGGTACAAGACAGACATGGCTACACCATAGCTCCGGCAGGAACCAAAGGTGAGTGAGCCCGAAGAAAGGCTTCTCATGTCTCTGTCTCACACAGCTCTTGTTCTAGCCCCTGGCTCCAGATTACCCAGCTGTGCTGCATCAGAACTGAACTTGAGCCCAGGTGCCCAAATGCCTGGAACTGAAGAGGAGCCAGCAGAGCCTGTTGGTGCACTTGGGGCCCTGACAGCACCTGTACAACATCGGCCAGTGAATCATTACATGGCAGCATTTTATAGTGGTGTTTACACCATGCATGACTCGCTGTTACACAAATACTTGACATCTCCTGCAGAGCTACAGAACCAGCAATGTCCTCCCTGTTGTGCCGAGCTCCGGTGGGGTAACCCACCATTGTTGCTCTCGTTAATGCTAGAAGAGGTTCTGCTCTGCGAGGGCTTGATTTTCAGAAGCCGCTTCCAGCAACCCTGGTGACTTAACCAGCAGCACTGGCTGAGCTCACCTCGGGTGCCTCTCCTCCGGGGTGCAGCAGGGCTTGTGGTCCCTTCGGACGGTCTGTGTGGATGCAAATGCTGGCCACGTGGACCATTGGCCTCTAGCAGAAAGCTGAAAAGATTGAGAGGAAAAAAATCCCATTTGCTGTATCTGAGGACCCCAAGCTCACAACAGAGAGCCCAAATCCAGAATCAATACCACTGCCTACCAGTACAGTCAAACAGAAAGGCAAGGACCGTACCCTGGAACCCGTCTCAGCCAGGACTGACCACACCTAAAAACCAAATAAACTAGGTTTGTGCTTTGGAGAAATCATTGTCCCAGCCTGGTACCATTTGTTAAACAGCTCTAAACCATCTCCCAGTAGCTGTCGTTCGTGCTGCCTGGGTTATGGGACCACTGGAACAGGAAGCGTCACACAAAGAAATCAGTCTTGCATTAATCCAGATCTACTCCAAAGTGATGGGTTTGGCTTGGGTCTTGTGTCTTTTGCACTGGGGTGCGCCCTGGTAAGGGCACGCTGAGCCTCGTTAACCCAGGCAGATTAGGAGTGTCTTGTTAACCCAGGCAGATTAGGAGTGTTCATGTATTTACTTAGTTATGCAGGTTGGTGACCCTACATGAACCAGCTGCATTTCCCTCGGTGTGGAACGCAATGAAGGTAAGGTCTGAGGAATGGCAAAAAGAATGCAATGAAGGAAATTTCCTTCAGAAACTGTAAGTTCTTCCGAAAGCAAAACCTTGTTCATTTTAAGAGGCTGCTAATTCCTGTCTTGGAACTTTTTTGGTATTTCCTTGGGGGGAGAAAAATCCAGGTCTGCTGGCTTGCTCTGCTTTATAGTCATTACTACAACAAACTAATTAGTTTGCAACCATCCAGTACAAATCCATCCCTATTCGGGCTGTACAATTTACAAAAACAATAGTCACTGGCCAACCGGAAGGATTTGACTTCCAACCCCCAAGCTTCAGACTGGTCAAGCCCTGAATCGGTTGAATGTGAAGCCTCGGGAGTTTTAAGGGCCCTAATTCCAGTGCAAGAAGTGGGAAGATTACATTGGAGAAACAGTAAATTCCAATTTAGCGAGCTGAAAATCATTTGTACAATGGGGCAAGTGCTCACGGAGCGTCCCAGCTCTAGGGAGAAAACAGTGCTTTAACCTCTGGTGCTAAGGCAGCACGGAGAGCTTGTCTCAGCCGCAGCGCATTTCTGAACCGCAGCCAAAACGCCAATGAAAAAACCAAGCCTAAAAATAAATAACACAGGACTTTGACAGAGCTTAACTGCCCGTTAGTTTGCGGGCATACACGTTCCTGGAACTGATTTTCTCATCATTTGAATACAGATTTTTCCCATGCTCATTTATTTTATTTACTAAGACTGACAAATACCAGGGACCAGATGTTCCTGTAGGACACAGTCGTGTGGTTGCCTTTTTTTTTTTTTTTGAAACTGTATGGGTCAAATTCTGGCTTCAGTATCTGGCGTGTGCGTCCACTCGAAAGGCTGCAGCCAAGAACAACATTTAGGTTCCTCCTCTGTTTCCTCCACCCTTAAAAATGCAGTAAGTAATTCACAAAGATGACATCTGAAGCTGAAATTCAGGAGTTAGCAGCAACGTATAGATTTTCTCTCTCCCTATATATATATATTAAAGAAAGATTAAAATGAAAAGGACTTGCTTGACTTCCTAATAGTTTGGGGTGGTCCCTGGGGTGGTCCCTGGGCTTCCAGCAAGATTCAAAGTTGACCACGTTAGCCAAAGTTTGGGTGTTTTACTGGAATTCTTCAACTCACCGGAGCCTCCTGTTTCCTGGGCAGGATGTGTTTCAGACTGCTGATCTGTGTTTGGCCATCTGGAGCCTTGGAGGAAGATTTGGGAGCAGTCCTGTGCCGTGGCAAGACAGAAACATTTCAAAATATATAGAACTAATTAAATATATGGTTGGAGCTTGTGAGTCTGGAAAGTGCATACCCAACGTGAGCAGCCAGTTACGAAGTGCCCGATGGATGAAAATATCACCCAGGATGATATACAGGGGGGGACTGCTGGAAACATTCATGGTGCAGCTGAGCTCCAGGCTTTGCTATTGATAACCGGCACAATGTTTGGTACCGTCCTCACTGTCCCAACAAGAGCAACCAGCCAAATTTGCTACTGGGTTGATACTTAAAGTAGGGAGCAAGCGCTCTTTGCTTCCATTTGCTTTCATAAAAGCCAAGTGCGCTTACCAACCAAGGCTGTTTTTTCCCTTGCAGGGTGGGATTTCATGATAGTGGCAATCCTTACAGCCACATCAGCCAGCGCACAACCAGCCAGGACAGCTTTTAACTCACCTGGCAAAAGCAGAGTCTCCAACTACAAGATGGCCCATGTTTGGCAATTAAAAGGTGCCTGTTCCCAAGTGAAAAAAAAAGCAGCACCTACGACTTTCCCCATGAGTGAGAATGACTATTGCTTGGACCATGGCACAGATAGCCTGGATTTGGTCATGGTGGCTTTTTCAGCATTGGGAAAGCTAGCAAAACCGAAGCAAGAAAAACTCCCTGGGTTGATGAAAGGTACCTCCCAGGAGCACAAAATGTACAGCGTCAATGGAATCAAAGTTGCTTTTGCTATACACAAATGTTCTTGAAGAGATGTAGGCATGGCTCGTGGCTGTCCGCGTTCTCCAGCAGAAAAGGCCTTGAGAGCACACTTTTAGACTACCTGCATCATACAGGTCTGCGATCTGAAGATAAAAACCCATCTGCGGGTATAAATTAGGCCTTCACTGTGCCAGAGGGAGGCTCAGAATGTACACAGAAAATCAGGCTTGGCCACGAAGACACCAGAATTTTCCATCTGAGGCCACCCAGGCAGTTGTCAGAGCCTCCAATGGGCCTTAATTACCCCGAGCAGCCTCAGTGGAGACCCTTGCCCCCCCACCCTCTTGCCAGTTGGCCCAGGAGCTCCATTTAAGCCCAGGCCTGGGCCTTCATGCCCCCCACCCCGAGCTACTCTGTAGGTGCAGCTACTGTCAACCCTGTCCCCTGGACACGCCTTGGACCTATGCTGCAGCCTTGTCCCCAGTCCCGTCTCCAAGCTGCTCACTCTGGACCCAACTCATCGCTCAGCTTCGCCTCAGCCTGGGAGAGGGTCTGTGCCACAGCCACCTTTGGCAGCCACCTTGCCCTCCCTCGGGGAGCAGCCCCGCACGCTCAGCAGGCAGGGAAGGGCTGGGCGGCAGGGCAAAGGGCTGCCATCCCCTTCCAGGCAAGGAACAGAGCGGAGACCTCTCTGCTCCTGTGACTATTCTAACTAGAACTAGGTATGGATGGATGGTAAGGGGCTGGTGCTTTGATAAAGGAACGATGTGGGACACGCCTAGCAGGGCGGGCACCGCTTTCCAAGCTGTGCGCTACCGCGGACAGCCCGCTGTAACCGGTGACAGCGGCCAAGCGAACGCCACGGGCGTCCCTCGGCGAGTCCCTCGCTCCGCTGTGAGAAATGTTGTGTCCTGAAGTCCCCGGAGCAGCTTTAGAGAGCCTGCCCGCCGTTTATTCACGCTTTCCAGGCGGGC